AGTAGGAAATCAGGATCATTTTGGGGAAATGGGTTGATGAACCCAGGTTTCCAACAAGGTGGTCTGAAGATTTGATTAGACGTAGAGTCTGATGTCTCTGGCAAGAGTGTGGGCAGTGATGAAGCTTAGAAAGGGTTGCGGGGGCGAGGGGGCAGGAAAAAGGTGGATGGTCCAGGAGAGAGGATGAGGCTGTTGTGGGGATAGGCAGGAGGGAAGAGTTCCTGCTCACGTTACCTGTTCACCTCCTTGTAGAGACAGAATAAGCACAAGAGCAATCCAAGAGGCAGAAAAGCTGAAGTTATAGACTCCCAAGGGCACTGGATACATATAGGAAATTTATTTTGTACATAAATAAACACACACATACACACACATACACATACAAACGTTGACAGGCATTGATAAATAGGAAGCAGTTATCCTGGGAGGTTTTCTTCTGTGTGCTCTCCTGTATTTTCCATGTTCTAATGAGACTATGTGACCCCTGAAGCAGACAAGGACACAATAAATGTCATTTACACACAAGAGGAGTCTTTAGTATAGAGTCAGCTTTCACCAGGAAAAGAGGAACTAGCTTTAAGATGTAGCTTTCAGAGGAAACAGGTTGCCCAGAAATGGCAGTTCTGCTGGAGTGAAGGGGCAGAGTTCATGTAGCAGACACTAAAAACCTAGTGGAAAGACAAATGACAAAGAAAAATATTTGCAGCCCCTATGCAAAAGTCAAATCTTCCTAAAATATAAATAGCTATTAGAATTTTATGGGGAAAACCACAAAAAGCCTGTATAAAAACAGGCAAAGAATATTGAGAAACAGCTCGCAGGAAACGAGATGCAAACAAAACACGAATATTTGCTCAGCTTCACTTGCAATAAGAGAAATGCAAGCTACAAGGACACTGAAAAAACATTTTTCTTCTAGCAGATCAGAAATATGCAAAAGTTTGATTACACACCCTATGATGAGGCTATGGGAAAATATGTACTCTCTTACATTGCTGGTGGGATTATAAATTGGCATGACCTTTATGGCGGGGAATTTAATATTTATTTGAATTACTGATGTGCATACTCTTTAGCTCAATATCCCACTTTTAGAAATTTATCTTATAGAAATATTTTCCCTGTTTAAAATGACATATATGGTGTTATTCACCGTAACATTGTTTATAACAGAAAAAGACTGAAAACAATCCTCAATAAAGAACTAATATATGATGAAAATTCACTACAGCGGAATACTATGCAGCTATAAGGAATCATAAGGAAGCTATATACTAATAGAAAAGTATCTCCAAGGTATATATTTTAATTACTTTAAAAAGAAACTATTTATTTTAGAATAGTTTAAAATTGTGAAGATGGTACAGAGAACTTTTTTAAGCCCCACACCCAATTTTCTCTATAATCAAGATTTTACCTTAGTAAAGTATATTTTTTATAATTAAGGAACCAATATTAATACATTAGTATTAACCGAAGTCCATACTTTATTCAGATTTCTTTACTTTTTATGTAATGTCCCTTTTCCGTGCCAGGACCCCTTCCAGGATACCACATTATACTTAGTTGTGTTATTTCCTTGGGCTCCTTTTGGCTATCATAGTTTCTCAGACTGTCCTTGTTTTTGATGACCTTGACAGTTTTGAGGAGTACTGCTCAGGTGTTTTGTAAAATGTACCTCCAGTGGTATCTGTCTGATGTTTTTCTCACGATTAGACTGGAGTTTTGGAGACAGAAACCACAGAGGCAAAATGCCATCCTCATCACATCATATCAAGGGTACAGTCTATGAACGTGACTTACCACTGTTGATGTCGACCTCGATCACCCGACTGATGTAGTGTTTGTCATGTTTCTTGACCATAAAGTTACTCTTTTCTCCCCCTTTCCATACTGTCTTCTTTGGAAGGAAGTCACTATGTGCAGTCCACTCATAAGAGGTAAAGAATTATGTTCCACCTTTGACATAATCCATCATTGTGGGTTTTTTTTTTGTTTTGTTTTGTTTTTTTGGTTTTGCTATTTTTTTGAGCATTTCCTTACTTTCTGGCAGTAAAAGATGACCCAGGCTAGTCTTGTGCATTTCCTGCCCCAGTCCTAGAATCAGACATTTCTCTAAGGAGCCCTGGTTCTATTTATTGGAGAATGGTATTAAAAATCAAGTACTGGGTAGTAGGTGAGTTCATTGCTACTGGGTGTTGGTTTTGGGCCCTCTCAGCTGACAGAGTAAGGAAATGCATGTGTGTATAGCAACCCCTGTATGTTCGCGTGTCTATATAACTTTATTTTATGTAACCATCTCTATCTATATTAAGCTCAACATGAATTCATATGCTATCTCAAAATCTAATCAATCACCACATGGAACATTCTAGCCTCTTCCCCTTGTTTATCTGGAATATCCCCAAGATATATATTTTTTAAGTAAAAAAACAGAGGGTGCACACTGATGTGTATGTTATCTTTTATGCAAAGAGGGTAGAGAAATAAAAACATATATTCGTATTTGCATAGAGAAACTCTAAAATCTATCAAGAGAATAGAAAATGTATGTTCCCACAAGAATTCGTACGCAAATGTTCATAGCAGCATTATTCGTAGTAGTGGTGGTGATGGTTGCACAACAATGAGAATGTACTTGATGCCACTGAAGTGCATACTTAAAAGTAGTTAAGATGGTAGATTTTATGTTCTCTTAAAATCTACCATTTTTTTTAATATGGGAAAAAAGCTATCGCGTTTATTTTGCTTTACTGTTTTCCACTCAGTATGTTTTTAGGCTATATAGCGGTTGCTGTGTGACATCTATTCCATTGCTTCTAACTGTGGCATGATAGTCCATGGTTTTCCTAGCACATTTCATTTATTTTTTTATTGAGATATAATTGACATATAACATTATATTAGTTTTTGGTGTACAACATAATGATTTGATATTTGTATGCATTGAGAAATAATAACCACGATTAGTTAGAGAAATAATAACCACAATAAGTCTACTTACCATCCATTACCCTATATATAGTAACACATTTTTATTTATAGTGATGAGAACTTTTAAGATCTGCTCTCTTAGCAACTTTTAAATATGCAATACAGTACTGTTAACTACAGTCGTCATGCTGTAAATTACCTCCCCAGGACTTATTTTATAACTGGAAGTTTGTCCCTTTTGACCACAATCCCCCATTTTGCCCCCTCATGCCCCCCTGCCTCTATATATAGTAACACATTTTTATTTATCGTGATGAGAACTTTTAAGATCTGCTCTCATAGCAACTTTTAAATATGCAATACAGTACTGTTAACTACAGTCGTCATGCTGTAAATTACCTCCCCAGGACTTATTTTATAACTGGAAGTTTGTACCTTTTGACCACAATCACCCATTTTGCCCACTCATGACCCCCTGCCTCTGGCAACTACCAATTTGTTCTGTGTGCGTATGAGTTTATTTTATTTTAGATTTTACATCTGACTTATTTCACTTAGCACAATGCCCTCAAGGTCCATCCATGTTGTTGCAAGTGGCAAAATTTCCAGCGCATAATAGATCCCACTTTCTCAGAGACCAGAAGATGAAGCTATGGATGTATTCTGTGGGACTAAAGAAGTTGAGTTGAAGCTGTTCCTCTGATGTGGCCTTGTCGCCTTTGCAGGAAAATTGGAGGCTGTGGAGAAGGGTCTGGAGGAAATGGGGGCAGCAGCTGTAGAGAACAGCAGTTAAGAGATGAAATCTAGATTGCCAGGTGGCTTCAGCAGAGGCCACCCCAGCACGAGCTGTGGAGGGTGCAGGCAGCATGGCTTAGTACCCTTCCCCAGCAGAACCGTGCTGTGAACGGAGGAAGCTACCAGTACTGAGGATCAGAAAAGAGCAGAAAGTGTTGTTACAGACCCACGGGAGATAGCAAAGACATAGTGGGAATGACCTCCCAGGGCATTAGGCTGGGCAAGGAGGCAGGTGAGGTTGAACTGGGACTGAGTCAGAAGAGGCTGTAGCAATGATGATGGAGGTAAGGTGCAGAGACCAGATTTGGCAGGCAGAAGAAAGGAGTAGCCAGGCCTGGTTGTAGCTTGGAGGGAACTTCTATTTTAGATTTGGAAGTGGAGGAATGTGAAGCTTGCATGTTTGCATATGTGTTGAATGCATGTTTTAATTAGATATATTTATTAAATGTATGCTAATTTTTCTCACATCTCCAATACGAGGCAGCCATGTGGTAAAACTCTGGGAAGGGGGTACCCCTCACATCATTATCCAGATGTGTGATGCCACCTTGAGTTGCTCAGCACACAAACTCTGTATGTGGGGCTTTGCTGGAACCTAAGGGTGACAATGATGAGCTTACCATCTATGAAATGCTTACTGTGTGCAAAGCACTGAGCACGCTGCTTCACTTTTATCTCAATTGTCGCCACAACACACTTCTGAGATAGGCACTGTCACCCCTAATTGACAGATGAGGGAAAAGACTCTGTTAGAGAAGGAACATAACTTGTCCAAGGCCACCCAGCCAGAAGTTGGCCTTCGCTGTGGAACAAGCACTTGGCTTCCTAGAACCAACTGGGACTGCTGTGGACCTCTCAAAAGCTCAGAGGACCCGCTGGGATTTTGGGCCTTCTCAAATGATCCCTGTCTCCGCTCCTGGAGACCTTCGCTCCTTAGAGAGCGGCTCTGTGGAGAAAAGGTGGTGGAAGACAAGGGTGGCACAATCAGTCTTTAAGGGCCTTAACGGAGTGTGACTTTCTCTGTCAGATAGAAATGCACAGGGGAGAGGAAGGCAGAAGGCAGTGGCAGGGCCGGAAATGATTCCTCAGGAGCCAGTGGGGGTGGCTCTGGAGGGAGCGCCGCGGACTTTGAAGTCACAAAGGAGGCAGGGGGTGGGGCTGGTGCAGAGTCAGTCACCAGATCAAGGGAGATTGGAATCCCACCCCCTTAGCGAAGCGTAAGCGTGGCGAGTGGATTAGTGCGAATGGAGGGGAGCCTCTGAGCACTACTGTGGGAGGAAACGCGAAGCCAGCTACCCCGGGAAGCTGGAAGTGTACACAAACCAGGAAGGAGTTAGAGTCCTTGGGGGCTGACGGCCCCCTAATCGAAGGGAATTTGGAGGCTGTTCCTATCCAAGAGGTTGAAAAGCTCGCATATCCAGGTGCCAGGGTCCAGGCCAGAGAGACCAGAGTTCTGGAAGCCATGGAGCATTCAGAAGGACGGGAGAAGGACAAGTAAGTGTTGCCGAGCAGCTGCGGCAGGTGGTCTCTGTCTTCTCACTGCAGTGGGAGGCTGGGGTGGGGGAAAAGGCATCTGGGGCAGAGACTCCAAGATCAAACCCTGGTGGACCAAGACTCTTCGATGCTCTCTGTAAGGGCACTAGTTTGGCAGGAGCAATTTTCTAACAATAATAATGATTTGAATCTAAACACCTCTGAGGCAGGAAGGAACTCATCTGTTGCCACAGCCCTCACCCCTCCCAGCCTCACGCCCACCCAGGAGGGTCAGTTCATATCTGACATGCTGGCTTTTGTAGGAGGCTCAGGGACCCGTGGATCCCTAACTTTGCTCAGCTCGCAGTCGATGCTGCGGCACTGTACTGCTCAGTAGTTTATAGGGACTGCTGTGCATTTAGCATTACTGGCACTGCCCATAAACACCAACAGCACCCTCTAGCTTTTGCGACAATCACATTTCCAAATGCTCCCTGGAGGTTGGGTGGTACACCCTGGGAGCTACTGGGGCCCCTCTTTGGTGCTGGGGCCAGTCCTTTCCTGGCACAGAAACATAGAGACATGGAAGCCAGTTGCATGTGTTGTTTATTATAATAATGCCTCTGAGTGAGAGAGAGAAGAGAGAGGCTATGCCGGGAGGGGTGGGCAGCAGGCCATTGTGGGCAGGACAGAAAGTGCGGTGAGCCTCCCCAGCCAGGGGACATTGGGGAAGTGTCACTTAATCTTTAATAAAATATAAAGAGAGAGAGAGAGAGAGACTGTGGGGTAAATCTAGCCGCCAGAAGCCAGGCTGGGTAAAAAATGAAACACTTTGAGCTGGGGGTGGGCAGAGGCATGGAGGTCTACTGCTGGAGTAAGCATGACATCTTGGGCCCAGGTGTTGCTACCTGGAGCCCATTCCATCAGCAGAGACATAAGAGCTGAGAGCTGCAAAGAGTACCTGCCCCTTCAGGCAGAAGCCCCCTGCGGCTGGTGGTGGTGGTGGCAGGGAGCAAGGATCCTGAAGTTCCTCTATCCCCACATGGTTATCTGCAGCCACTGTGGGTAAAGAAGAAGCAGATGGGAGAGGTGGGGTGGGGCAGGATGGCTGGGGAGAGCAGAGAGAGGGTGGAGCCATGGGTGGGGGTATCGTAAGATCCCTTCCATGTACCTGGTTCAGGTTCAAGCAAATATAGCCAGTATTCCTGGGGTCCATGGTTAGAAAGTATGCTGTTTGAGGGAGGAGGCAAGGAGAAAGGGGTTGACAGCTGAGTCAGACCCAACTGGTAAGGGCATAAGAGGTTGTCTGTCCCTTGATGCTCCCCAGCTAAACTCTCCACCCCGCCACCCCCGCCAAGCAGGGGACTGATGATAACAACTCATAGAGCCTTGCTCTGAGCCAGGCCCAGTTCTAAGTGCTCTCCATATGCTAACTCATTTAATCTGTACCTCTAACCCATGAGGGCAGGACTATTATCCCCATTTTATAGGCGAGGCAATGGAGGCACAGAGAGATAAAGTGACTGGCTGAAGGCACTGAGCCAGCAAGTGGTGGAGCTAGAATGTGAACCCAGATCACCTGTGACCTATAAGAGGGCGTGGCTCTGAAGTAGAGCCCCTCATGCGGATATGTGGGAGAAGGCCAGTAGTCCAGCTTAGGGTGGAGAATGGGAGGTGCCTGACTTACCAAACATGGCCTTCAGCCTCGTGAAACAACCGATGAAGCTGTCGAAATCCATGATCATGTCCTCATTTGCATACCTGGCCACTAGCACCTGCACCACCTTGTTATTCACCTTGATGCCTGTGAGAGAGAGGAGTGTGGAGGTGGGGAGTCCCGCCCTCTGACCACGGCTTCCCCCTTCCCTGCCCCAAAGCCCCTTCCGACCCCTGGCCACCTGCTTTCTCAATTGCTAAGCGCAACTCATAGGAGTTCAAGGAACCTGAGTTGTCCTGGTCACACTCTTGGAAGATGTCCTGAAGAGACACACAGATGAGGTAGGGCCATGTGCATGGCATGGTGGTTGAAGTAATGAAATACTTCAGTATGGCTGACTTGCAACTGCTACTCAAGAGCCCAGGGGCTCCCTCCCCTGGTCTACCCACCGAACTCCCACTCTGTCTATTATCTGGTGACTGTAGGGTGAATTCCAGGCCTCACAGAGGGCCTCTGGCGCTGTGCCCAGGGCTCTCTGCATGCATCCCTTATGCTGGCTGATAGCAGGATTATACTGCCTATTAAATATTTTGACTAAATAATACATCAACACTGCAACAGATCCTGTCCTGTGGTGTGTGTGTGTGTGTGTGTGTGTGTGTGTGTGTGTGTAGTCAGGTGCTCCAGTTCTAGCTTCATCCTTACTAGTTCCCATGCCTCTTGAGGACCTTCTTTTCTCACCCCTTAAAGTGCCCCCTCAATACCCTTTACCGTCCATTTCTTGATTTTTTTCCACAGGATCTGGAATTCTGGAAGTCCCAGCTTGCCAGAGCAATCTTTCTGAAGGGCGGTCAAGGACATCAGAGAAAGGAGTGAGGAGGGGCATCCCGGGGACAGGGGAGCAGTGGGACTCACAGACAGGGGACGAGACCAGGGTGTCCTGTATGGTAACTATGATAACAGCCAGAGGAACTGGCATCTTTTGCTACCCAGAACCTATGCCCCAACAGGAAAGAGGGCATAGCTGACCAGAGAAGTAGCTACCTCAAGGCCTGGCTGAGGGGTAGTGGGATAGGGGCGGGAGAACACTGGACAGCACTGCCCCCTGGGCAGGAAGATACATCCATGATGTTGATCATGCAACGGCACGCGTCTAGGCTAAAGCCCTTGGCGCTGATGTTTCTGACTGTGAGGGAGGGGATGGGTGGAAAGAAGAGAAGGAGTGAGTAGGGGGTTGTGGGGGATGCAGAGTGGTCAAGGCGGGGTGAATACTGTAGGGGAAGGGCTGAGTAGTAGGGTGAAAGACTCACGTTTGTGGATCACCTTGTTGAGCAGCCTTTGTAGCTCATACATGCCTATCTCCTTGTCCTAGGGAGGGGGACCGTAAACCCTTGCTCTGGTCCCTTCGGCTCCCATCCACCTCCTTTCAGCTTCCAGCTCTCAGCCTCTCACCTCTCCTCCTGCCACTATCTCAAACAAATGTTTGAACTCCTGGTCTACGTAATGCTCAGAGACGTTTTCCTGGAGGGAAAGGAGTGAGAGAGGGACCCAGTCCAGGAAGTTCCTTTACATCCCCCAGAGGCTTCCTCCAGTCCCCCGACACCAGAGCCTCCCCTCACCTCTTGGAGTAGCTCAGCACAGTTGACTTCATCCATTTCCCTGGGCAAAAGTGAATGAAGCTTGGGGGTTACGAGGGGGTCAGGGAGACATTAATTTCAGTGAGATGGTCGGAGTGGGGGGTGCATTATATCAAATATCTGAGTCTGTATGGAATGAGCTCCATGGCATTTGGGTTCTGGTTCTGGCTCTGCTACTAACTGGGATTCCCCTCCACATGCCTCAGTTTCCCTGACTGTAAAATAGGGACAGGGTTGGGGGGGGGACCAGATGACTGCTTCCTGAGCTTGACCTCTTACAGCTCTTGGGCATATGCCCTTGGAGCAGTGAGGTGGGGGCCCTCACCAGGACATGCTGTGCTTCTCTGTGAAGACCCGAAGCAGAAAGTCAGCATCCCTGTGCGGCTCAAAGGTGGAGGGAATGATGATATATTCCCCTGGAGGCAGCTGGAGATAGCTGCTCACTTCACGTGAGTTGGTGAAGATCTCTGAGAAGCCATGGTTCTGATACTTTATGAAGAAGTCCTTCTTCAAGTGGATATCTTGGATGTTCTGCAACTATATGTGCCCCGGAGGTGGGTACAGGGCCGGCCTGGGAGGGCTGGGAGAGAGGGACCCCCAAGGTGAAGCCTGCTTGGGCAAGGTTGCAGGGAGATATGTCCACCAACTGAGCGGGCCTGGACCCCGTCCAAGTGGCAGGTAGCCCTGGTATGGTCTCTTCTTTCCCTGAATCCCACCCAGGGCCTGAGGGGGCTGGACTTCTAACCCAGTGGGCTCCAGAGCCCTTCGCCAAATTCCACCCTTTGCCCAATCACATGCATCCTGGCCAGGATCAAGCCCCATGTCTTCTGTACCTCCTTTGGGACCTAAGAAAGGGAGAGACAGGGGGGTCAGATCCCCAGGATAGTGAAGGGGCTCAGGCTGTGAAAGCCCAGTGGGGTGTGCATAGTGGCATAGTGCATGTGTGTGTGTGTGTGTGTGTGTGTGTGTGTGGTATGTATGTGTGTGTTGAGCAGGGATGTGTTAAGGGCACTGGGACACTAGTGATGGGGTAGGGTATGGGCTCTGATAGCTAAAAGTCCTAGCATTAATAATTCCTCAGCTTTGGACAGGAAAGTACAGTTTACACAGAATTTTGCCAGGGGGAGAGTTTTACCACTGCAGGTTGAGGACAGGCAACAGAATCCCCATGAGGTGAGGTAACTTTGCCCAACTTCACTGCTAAACAGTGACATATCTGGGATGAAAACCTAGGAGAGCATTTTCCTGAACATGATAGCATTTCCCTGCAAGAAGCTAATAGGGGATTATGAAATTGAGGATTGAGCACAAATAAAGTAGTAAAAAGATGAGTTAAACCCAGATAAACGGGTTTCTGTTCTCCTACAGGGATGACCAGAACCTTTAACGTGCTGATGACACTGTAGAGCTCTGCGTGGGGGCCAGAAGACAGCTGGAAAGAACGCATCTAGCCTTGGAAATGTCCTGAGGCGTGTCTGCTAACCTGGTGGATTTGCAGCCTAGGAAAAGGGCCCTGCTTGCGTCTGTTTTGTTCACTATTAAACTACTGGAGACTGGACTGGGGCCCAGCATACAGTAGGAGTTCCATAAATCGTCATTAAATATATAAGAGAAAGAACAAATGGCCATTTCTAGGATCTTGAAAAGCGCGGTTTGGGAAACACTTGTCAGGGATTTCTCTTGGCCCCTGGAGTCAAGGCTCTTGGTGGGACATCTAGGGGTAGGCTCAGCGGGGCTTGTGCAGAAGTCTCGGAATGTCTGGAAATCAGGACACAGGCTATTGCTGACTCTTGGATGTGTGAGCTTGAGCAAGTGGCCTCATTGCTGTGGCTCTCAATCTCCTTCCTGTTCAGAAGGCCTTTGGAACTATGCGGAGCACAAAGGAAGTGCTATCTAAACATTTCAGATCTAAAAACTTGTTAAAAGGAAACTGCTGCCTGCTTTTAAAAACACAAGGCACCACTCAAGCAAGAGCCAGGGCTGTGGATCCTGTTGGAAAGGGTCCCACTCCTAGGTGGACAGTGGCCCTGGGAGGGAGGACGGGGTGAGGGAGCAAGAGTGGCTGGAAGATCAGCTGGGGCGCCCACCGTGTAGATGATAAAGCCAATGGTCTGTAATGGGGCTCCTTGGGGTCGTGCCTGCCGCCAGTTCTTCTGCATCAGGGCTATCAGGCAGGTACAGATGGCTTCCTCGTCCTCTGGGTCATCCTCCAGAGGGAGAGAGATCCTAAACTGGGGGTTGGTCCAGAACGTGTCTGTAAAAGAAGCAGGTCAGGATGGCTCTGCCCTGCCCAGCGTGCAGTGGCTTCTCAGCCACATGCCCACCTCCTCAACAGAGCCCAGTGGGATCTGACGGGCCCCTGACTTTGGGCACCCTGATCCCTGTGACCCTGTGTCCCCCAGGTAGGGTTGTACAGGTGACTCAGGGATCCATCCCTGGCTTCCTGCCCCCTGAATCCCCTCACCCACCAACGTGGTTTCTGCAGCCCCCCGCAGTGCTGCCCCGCCGCCAGCTGCCCTCGTAGAAGATGATGTGCCAACAGCTCCTATAGTCCCCAGAGAGTGCATCAGGCATCAGGCTGCAGATCTCCAGGGATGTGAAGTTCTTCAGGAAATCTTGGTAGGACATCCTGTGGTAGAGGGGGTGGGTACTAGAGCCTGTCAGCGGCATACCCACACCCACAGGAACCCTCCTCCCTGTCCTGTCCCAGGAGGCTCCATGTCCAAGGTGCAGGTGGGAGGGGGCAGGAGAGATGAAGGGGCGGAGTATGAGGTGGAGAGAGAGGCCCATCCAAGCCGCACTGACCAGAACTCCCCATCCTCCATCTTGTGCAGCAGCTGCTTCTGGATGTCTGGGGACACCTCTTCCCACTCCACAGAGCTGGAGCAGAGATAGGCAGTGAAGGAAGAGGGGCTGTGGGTCAGGAGGCACCTCCTTTCTCGCCAAGCCATTCTCTCACCCCTGATGCCTTCCTACTGGGCGTCCTGAGTTAGGTGGAGAATCTGGAGAGGAGGGATGCGCCCAGGTGCACCAGTGGGTCCCTCTCTGGCACGGCCTCGTTCATGGGCCTGCTATGTGCTCTGCCTCTCACCCGAGAGCACTGGTCAGGGCCACCTACTTGTCACTCCAGGCTCCATTCCACTCAATCCGGCCCCAGGGATTCCGGACCCGAATCAGGGTTTCCGTCCTGCCGTGGTACCAGATCTGGGTGGAGAGCGTGTGAAGGTCAGGTGCATAGGGGCAGGAGGAAGTTCTTTTCCTTCACATGCCTCTCAGGGTAGGATGCAGTTGTCAGACTCACATCCTGAAGGCCAGTCACTGAGTAAGCATGTCCTCTCACCAGCATCCTCTGGGTCATGGATTCCAACTCACTGCTGCTGGTGATCTACAGAACAGAGAGGAAGGAGAGCAAGCAATTCAGGATCTGGTCAGAGGGACTGGGGCGACTGCAGAGAGGGGTGAACTCTGTGGGCTCATTTCTTTAAGAGTAAGCTTTGTATTTTCAAATAATCGTAGATTTACGTGCAGTTGTGAAACCCGATACAGAGAGATCTCATGCACCCCATATTCAGTTTCCCGTGACTATAACATCTTGCAAAACTATATATAGTACAATATCAAAACCAGGGTGTCGGTGTGGATGCAGTTCACCAGTCCTATAGAGATTCCCCCAGTTTTACTGGTACTCATGCGTGCGTTCTATGCAGTTTTGTCACATGTGCGTTGTTGTGTATTCACCACCACAGTCAGGATATAGACGACGTCCCTCACCTCAAGCATCCCGCCTGTTGCCCTTTTATAACCACAGCCACCTCTTCTTAATACCCTCCTCCCTAACCTCTGACAACCACTCATCTGTTTTCCTTTTTTTTTTTTCATTTTGTCATTTCAACACTGTCATATAAATCAAATCATATAGTATGGACCCTTTTGAGACTGAACCTTTTTTAAATTCGGCACAATTCCCTTGAGATTTTCCCAAGTCGTTATACGTGTTAATAGTTCATTTCTTTTTATTGTTGAGCGTGTTCCATGGTGTGCGTACCACTGTCTAACTATTCACCCTTCGAAGGACATCTAGGTTGTTTGCAGTTTCTGGCTATTATGAATAAAGCTGCTATAAACATTTGTGCTCAGGCTTTTCGTGTGGACATAAGTCTTCGTTTCTCTGGGATAAATGTCCAAGACTGCAATTGTGGGGTCAAACAGTAGAATCCTGCATTCATTTATTTATTTGAGCAAATATTTGTTGGATATCTATTGCATACCAAGCCCCATCCTAAGTCCCAGGATCCAGCAGTGAATGAGACAACAAAATCACTGCCCTCATTGAATGTGAAAACTGTCTGGAGAAGATAGGCTATGAATAAATACATAGATCATTTCACATTATAATTTCAAAGTGGAGAGTGGAACAGCTAATTTAAAAGGAACAACAATGGGGGTAGGAACAGCTAATTTAAAAGGAACAACAGCTAATTTGGGAGGCAGGGAAGACTAGCCTGAGGAAAGGGCTTTTGAATTGAAATGTGAATGAGAAGGAGCCAGCTGTGATGGGTATTTGGAGAAAGAACCTTCTAGATGAAAGCAACGGGAGGTGCAAAGGCCCTGAGGCAGGACCAAGCATGACTTACTTCGATAGAGCAGCCCATGAGGGAGGATCGATCTATGGCCTTCCTAAGCATTCTTAGCAGGTTCTTAGGAGGCCTCTGGAGTTGGAAGTTCTGGGTCACTCCCCCCGTGAAGTCTTCAAAGCCTTCCACCGTGCTGCCCCCTGACAGTGCTTCGTAGGACCCACTCAGCCTGCGGGCACAGAGTGGGCACTGTTCGGGCTCTGGGATAGAGCGTGGTGAGGGAAGAAAAGGCTGCCCTGCCATGCCCCTGCCTCTTTCCTTGATTCCGGCTGCCCCCATAGCTGCCACCTAGTGGGGCAGGTTTGAAGGCAAGCTCGGTTCATTGGCTCAGGTCACTCACTTGGCGTACGCCTTCTCCAGCAGGGCGCTCCAGAACTCAGTGCGCTCGCCTGAGTGCACGAATACCAGCTTGCCGTTCTTTGTGGGCAGCAGGTCATCCACCACCACGTCCACCCACTGCCCAAACTGCCAAATCTGCGGGCAGTGAGGTGGACTTCAATAGGGCGTGGGGCATCTGTCTGCCCCAGGATCCCCTCCAAGCACATGCATATTAACTCGTGCGCATATTAACACACACACACACACACACACACACACCCCCCACACACACACCTTATGTGAAAACTCTGTTACATGAGCGCCTCCTGGTGGCCAGGTTTAGTGACATGCCAATGTCAGAGAGTCCACTCCCCAGAATGGCGAAATAGTGAGTAAAAGGCAATGGAAAGCATGAACCTCACTCCTAGGCTCACTTCCAGGTCCTGCCATGGCATCCAGGGGGACCCCACCCATCTTTTGACCTTGTCTGGACTTTAGGATTTCTGAGCTCTTATGAGTCTCAGAAACATTTTATGACATAGGGAATTCATTCACATGTTGCTAAATTTAAAGAGCGGATTACAAAAATTATGTGACAGAGACTCCCAATGTCACACACACACATATACATATCTACAGAGAGATAGAGAGAGAGAAGGAGAAGGAGATACACAAACTGATCATTATTTTTGGGAGGGGGTTAAAATATTAGTGAACAGATTTTGAGTGATTTCCTTAGTTAACAGCTATTTGCCTGATAATAGAAAAACCCACACTAATAAATGTCATATTTCAAAGAGAAAAGAGAAAAGGTAAACTGCAAAGCACATACTAATTCTCTCTTTCTCTT